ATTGGGGAGAATGTCTCGGACGTGGCCTCCTCTCGGCCCCGGTGGAGCGTCCACGGCCACGTGTCCGATGCCAACATCAAGATTGGGGAGAATGTGTCAGATGTGGCTCCCTCCAGGGCAGAGTGGAACGTCCCCATCTCTCAGTCACACATGATGCTGGGGGCACTCCCGGAGGAGACTGAGCCTGAGACGTTTGGCCATGTGGTCCAGTCAGACCTGGGAGCACAGAGCTCCTCCCTGGAATGTGAGCTTCAGCCACCTGCAGAGACAGTGCCAGGGCCTTTGGGCCAGGCCCTGGCTGAAGTGACCACCTCAGTCAGCACGGAGGAGGAGGGTGTCCCCTGGGAACATGGTTCTGAAGGTGAGCAGGTCAGAAGGACAGCCAGGAAGTTGGGGGCAGGAACATGGGAAACGTCTGCCTCACCCCAGGACGGCGGGCCTGATGCCTCTGACATCCCCCTCCCCCCCCCCCAACTTGTACCCATCAGGAGCCAGGAGCAGCGAGGACAGCAGCAGCCCCTCTCCAGGTCGGCCCTTGAGTCCCCAGGTGAGGAGGTGCAGCTGTGGGCCAGGAGGGGGTCAGGGAGCCTCACGTAGCCTCTATTTCGAGTCAGAGGCCTGGGTCATGGAGCCGGGGGCTGGGTGCTGGTGTCTTTAGGCAGGTGACACTGCCCAGGGCAGCCTGGAGCCTGGCGAGGCTGCAAACTTACAGGCTCAGCTGGAGCGCCTGGCTGCACGCTACCACCTGGAGCAGTACCCCGACCACTTTGAAGCCATGTGTGAGTGCACCTGCTGCAGTGGACGGGGCGGCGGGAGGGCCGGAGGGTCCCACAGGGGTCAGTGCCATCTCCGTTTTCCCTTGTAGCTGAGCCTCCAGCCGCCCACCTCCTGCCACATGCACTGCCCCGCTCCTTCTCTTTCCCTGTGGAACCCCGAGCTCGGCCCGACACAGATGAGACTGCCGTACAGCTGAGTGAGCTGCTGACGTTGCCTGTGCTTCTGAAACACTCCATCTCAGCCCCGCTGGCTGCCCAGTGAGTGCTCCCCACACCCTCCCCATGAGTGCTCCTCCCGCACTTCCCATGAGTGCTCCCCTTGCTCTGTGAGTTCTCCTCCAGTGAGTGCTCCCCCCGCCCCCACAGCGTCTCCCTGGTGAACAAGGCTGCCGTGGACTACTTCTTCGTGGAGCTCCACCTGGAGACACACCTGGAGGCGCTGCGTCACTTCCTGCTGATGGAGGATGGTGAATTTGCCCAGTCCCTCAGTGACTTGCTCTTTGAAAAGGTGACGCGCGCACACACAGCCACCCTCCTGATCTGGGGGACGGGGATTGAGAAGCCAAGAAGCCAGACCCAGGGCTCCTGCGTTACAGGCTGTTGTGCCCCATGCCCTTTCTGCAGCTGGGCTCAGGGCAATCGCCCGGCGAACTCCTCAGCCCCCTCGCATTGGGCTCCGTACTGAGCAAGGCCTTGCAGTACAGCCTCCACGGGGATGGGCCCCTTGCTGCCAACCTCTCCTTCGCCCTCAAGTTCCTGCCTGAGGTGTTCACCCCCAACGCCCCTGACGTGCTGAGCTGCTTGGAGCTCAGATACAAGGTCAGAGCTTGTCCTGTGGTGGCAGGGGCAGTAGGTGGCAAGTGTACCAGGGCCCGTGGGACTGAGCCGCTGTCCCACAGGTTGACTGGCCCCTCAACATTGTCATCACCGAGAGCTGCCTTAGCAAGTATGGCCGCATCTTCTCCTTCCTGCTGCAGTTGAAACTCATGGTGTGGACACTCAAGGACATCTGCGGTCACCTCAAGCGCACTGGTGGGTGTCCTCCTGTCTCTCCCTGAGACCTCCTCTGTCCCCCCCAGCCCTGGTGAGCTGGGCCTTCCCCTGCTGACCCATCCTGCCCCCCCAGCCCTGGTGAGCCGGGCTGCAGGCTCTGTGCAGCTCCGCCAGCTACAGCTATTCAAGCACGAGATGCAGCACTTTGTGAAGGTCATCCAGGGTTACATCGCCAACCAGATCCTGCACGTCACCTGGTGTGAGTTCAGGAACAAGCTAGCCACTGTGGGCACCCTGGAAGAGGTCCAGCGGGCTCATGCCGAGTACCTGAACAAGGCTGTCTTCAGGTGAGACCACGGGGCATCCAGGGGACAGTTGTGGGGACACCTGGGACACCCTGTGAGTGCCACCTCCTCCCCCAGGGGTCTGTTGACAGAGAAAGCTGCACCGGTCATGAACATCATCCACAGCATTTTCAGCCTGGTCCTCAAGTTCCGCAGCCAGCTCATCTCCCAGGCCTGGTCTTCCACGGCCGCCCCCCGGGGTGCTGAGCACCCCAATTTCACCCTCATGCAGCAGTCGTACAACACCTTCAAGTACTATTCTCACTTCCTCTTCAAAGGTGAGTCTTCACCTGGGGGGGGGTGTTAGCACCCACCTGTGTCTATGCACACTGACCAGGGGCCCCCTCCACAGTGGTGACGAAGCTGGTGAACCGTGGCTACCAGCCCCACCTGGAGGACTTCCTGCTGCGTATCAACTTTAACAACTATTACCAGGACTCCTGACGGGCAGCTGTAGCTTTATTGGGGCTCGGGGCTGGCCACACTGCCAGGTCTGTATCAGACAGAGGCGGGTCGGGTCTGACTGGACGTCTCTGCCGCCATGGAGAGACAGCGTCTCGGAACGTGGCAGTGCAGGTGCTGGGGGCTCGGGCTCCACCCGAGGGGTTACGAGGATCACGTGACGCACAGCTCAGCCCCCCAGAGTGGGGGCTTGCTGCTGTAGGAGCGCTGTTGGTCACCAGTCCCTGTGGTCCCAGTGGGTTCCTCCTCCCCACGATGGTAAGGAGCCTGCAACAGCTTCAACACTCGCTGGACCTGCAGGGCAGTGGGAGTGAGCGCTACCCGTGTTGCCCGCCTGCCCCCCACACCTCACGAGAAGGATGGGGACCTGCCTCTGAGAAGTCCCCGTTCTCGGCGGCCTCGATGGCGTTCTGGGCGATGTAGTTCCGCAGCACGTACTTGGGGTTGTTGTCATGCATGAGCCGCACATGTTCCACCTGCCAGGCTTCTGTGTCGCCAGCCCCTTCTGCATCCTTCTCCAGACGTGCGCTGGGAGAGCAGGTCCGTCAGGGTGCAGCTGCCGCCCCAGCCCCAGACATAAGGCCCCCATCTCCACCAGCTCCCCTCCGGGCTGCCCGGGCCTACCTGTATTCCTGGAGCCAGCCCGTCCAGCGGGCTTGGTGCTGGGCCTGTAGCTCAGCCAGGCTCAGCTGCTCCAGCCTGGCCCGCTGCTCCGTGCGCTGCAGCTCCCGCTCCAGGGTGGCCTGGCTCCCCACGAGCGCCAGCAGTTGCGGGTTCGACTGTGCCAACATCAGCATCAGTGCGAGCTGCCTGGGGGTGGGCAGGGCTGTGAGAGTGTGTCCGTGTGACACACCAGCGTCCTCCTAGAGGGTCCCAGCTTTTGCCCTGTAATAGTTACTGTGTGTCCTGTAATAAACCTCTTCCGGCTTGGCTGCTGTCTGCCGGATCCTTATTGAGAGTTACAAGCAGCGTCCCTCCTAAGCTCAGCACACCCTGTCCCCTCGTTGGGGGAAGGCATGCGGCAGGGACACAGGATGCAGTTACCGCCTGGGGACCCAGCAGTGTGGAGAAATGTCCCTCCCTGGAAACAGGCTCAAAGGAAGGAGGATGCATGTCCTACCGGGGATCCATCTGGGGCCGCGCTGCCCGCTTCAGCTCCTCCAAGGATGCGCACTGCTGCAATAGCTGCTCCAGGAAGGCTGCCTGCTCGGGCATCGAGGGGCCCGTCTCGAAGGCACTCAACAGGCAGAAGGTGTTGGTGAAGTCAGCCCCTGTGGAGCAGTCCATCAGGGGGCGGTGGTCCCGGCCAGCACCAGAGGGACCCCTGCTCCCCACCCCACCCCCACCAGTTGGGTGAACAGCTTGGCTCTGCGGTCTTGGTGGGCTCACCAGTCAGATGCATGGTCTCCAGGAGCCGGGCCACCAGCACTGAGTCGTCCTCCAGCTCCACCCGCACCAGGCCCAGCTTCCGGCGCATTTTCTGTAGGTAGTGCCGCTGGAACTCGATGTCGTACTCCTCGGCCAGGACGGCCTCGGCCATGTCCAGGGGCAGCTCGGGCACTAGGGCCTCTGCCAGCTTCTGCAGGTTCCACCTGCACACCTCCGGCTGTCTGCTGTATGCGTAGCGACCCCCGTTGTCGGAGGCATTGCACACATGCTCGGGATCATACCTGTGAGGGGCGTGAAGCTGTGTCCTGTGTTGTGCTCCATCCCCCCTCCACACAGCAGGCAGCTAAGGGACCCTCAGACCAGCAGTGCAACACACTGTGTACAGGCTGGCCGTGAGGACCAAGACTGGACAAGGCATTGCACGTGGGGCAGCTCCCTGGGGAGGTGCTGACCTGTCCAGAAAGCCGAAGGGCCCGTAGTCAATGGTGAGCCCCAGAATGCTCATGTTGTCAGTGTTGAGCACACCATGGCAAAAGCCGACACACTGCCACTCGGCCACCAGGCGGGCTGTACGCCGTGTCACCTGGATGGGAAGGTGCCACATTCCTGGGCACTCGCTCCCCCAGAGAACATGTCCCCTGCCCAGCCTGCCAGGAGATCCCACAGGAGGCCCCAGCATTGCCAACTCCTTCCTCCCACACCATCAGACTGCTGAGCCGTCTGCTAGATGCACACTTGAGGGCAGGAGCAGAGGACCACCCCCTCCTGGGTGTTGGTGCAGAGTGACCACCCTGGCTGGGCCAGAACTGTGCTGCTGAGTCAGCAGGAGGGTTGGGACAGAAGCAGCGTGGCGGGCAATCCCACCTCCCGGAAGAAGGCTGTGTTCCTCCTCACACGGTCGTCGGTGTGAGCCGCCTGGATCTCAGGGTAGAAGGAGCCAATCACATAGTCTAACATCTGGACCCGGATGTCGTTCCTCCCAACGCTGGGGCCCTCGCGCCCCGTGAGCACATCTGCAGACTTAAAAATCTCAAAAGACCCAAACCTGTTGGGGAGACCAAGTTTTGACAGGTGAAGACTTGGCCCAGCCCTTGTCAGAGTCCCTCCTAGCCTGCAACAACAACACACGAACTGCCTCCCCCAACACACGCACGCACGCGCCTAGGGGAAGGGGAGCAGCTCGCGAGAAGCTGGCAGCAAGGCCTGAGGAATCCCTATGGGGCCTTGTGATCCGTATCTTACACCAGGGCAACGAGCATCCTGACTCATGAAGGACACTGTCCACGAGGTATCAGCAGTGGCTCTCACGTGGAGGTTCCACTGAGGTGGGAGCCACCAGGGTCTCCTAAGGTGGGCCAGTGTACTGTCTGGGCCTGAGGAGAGGAGCCACCATCCCAGTCCTTGGGAGGCAGGGGGACCCCAGGTGACCAGCTGTCAGCCTGCCCTTGCGGCATCTTACAGTGGGTCTACTTCAGGGACAGGCAAAGCCGGGTGTCAGATGTTGCCCTGGCTGCAGTTTCATGGCTAGTGCATATCCAGCTGCCAAGCACACATCACCTGCAGTGCTAGAAGCAAGCTTGGCCTGAGGGACCCGCGTTACCTTATGAAAGTGGGAGCTATGCGCAACACAACCGCGCAGTTTTCCCGCTTTGGATTACCATCATAGAACACATCCCGCACAACTGTGGAGGCAGACGTGACACAGGCCCCGGCCCGCGTGGTGGGGACTCCCAGGTGGAACATGGCTTCGCTGCACAGGAACTCACGGATGCTGGAGCGCAGGACCTTTCGGCCATCAGCCTGCCTGAAACCGGACATGGTGGTCATCAGGCCAAGGGATAATGTGTGTACCCCGAGCCCCTGCCCCATGGGGCCTCACAGCCACAGCTGTAGCATAGCCCCCCACTACCTCCTCAGAGGAGATATGCCCCAGCCCCAGGTATGGATGAGAGCCCTCTCACGAGCAGACAGACAGACACTGACGCAGACACAATCGCTCGGCTCTGTTTACTCGGGGCACAGCTGGGTGGGAAGACCCACTCCGTGTGTTGGTGCAGGAGAGCTACCTCCTCCTGAACCAAGGGCTAGACAGAGTAAGCAAGCAGACAGATGGACAAAAACAGCCAGCTGGGGCCTACAAGGCTGGGCCGGGCCGTGAGGGTCAGTAGTATTTCAGCATACACCCAGGCAGGCAGATGTGAGGCAGAAGGCTCTCACAACAAAAACACTAAAACATGGTCAATCCTGGGCAGTTACATGGGCTCTATGCCAGGGCTCTAAGCCCTCCAAGGGCTAGTGTGTCCAGTACCACCTGCTTCTGCACCTTGTCCCAGGCCTGCATGGGAACGCTGCCCGAGGCAGACTTAAGTTTCAGGGCACCAAGCAGGAAGCTGGCACAGCTGAGCTACCTTGAAATCTGATCCAACTGATCTCAGGACAGGGCCCCAGAGCTGATGTCAGAACTGAATGGGAGCTGTGATGACCATGGGAGGCCAGGGCAGCCCAGAGCCAGCCCCTCAGCCTCACTGGATGACCTGCAGACAGACCCACCCCCTTTAGGCAAGTCTGACTTGGAGGTTGGGTACACATGGGTGGTGAATATTTGGAGGTGCTGACCTGAGGAAAGGCCTGAAGTCCTCTGCCCCGGGACACACAGGGTGGTGGGCAGATGACCACGTTTTAAAGAAAAAAAACACTTTTGAGACCTCAGAACTTTAAACTGACCAACATAGGAGTCTTTGGCTATAAATCCCTCACAAAAGTTTGTCTTTATAAGCAGCAAAACCAGCTTCAGTGATCCTCAAATTAAAGCCCTAGTTTGTAAATGCTTGGAAACTAGCAGTTCTAGACGGAGTCACATGCACATCTCATTCCACAGGTGGGGCGGGAACAGGAGAACCTGTTCTGAGGCTCTCAGGTGAGCTAACTGGAGTCTTAGGAGTGGGGGAGCTTGTGGCGTCTGGGAGGCACCAGAGGCACACGTGGTACTTGGTGTTTCTTTGATCCTAAAACTCTTAGGTGTATTTTGGGTGTTTCCAACCATCATTTGGGAGTCCTGGTGTGGTGCTGAGGAGAATGCACTGGGCCACAAGTTGGTTCAAGGCCAGCAGTCACTCCTGGGAAAGCCCACCCAGGTTGCTGTGAGTTGGAAGGGCCTTAACAGCCATCATTTAAGGAGTGTGGTTATGTGGAGTGCTGGGTGACTCAGGATGCCGGGTCCTGTAAAAGCCCCCGCCCCCACCATCACAGGAGTTAGCACTGAGAGCCTTTGGCTTAGAGGAAGGAAGCTAGGCTTGCCGCTGACCCCGGGCCAGCACTGGGAAGCAGAACGGATTCCAAACCCGTCAACTGCCAGCGCTGCGCTTCTTCAGTAGGGGACAGAAGGCTCCAGACCTGGCCTCCTTCCCCAGGGCGTAATCCGGCGGGTGCCTGCCCTGGCAGAAGGCACTGCTCCTTGGCACTGCCGGTGGTGCTTCCTGCCCTCTTGCCCTGGCGACTACTACCCAAGAGTTTTCTGAAATTCCACCTCGCCTCTGTCTGCCCCTAAACTGGGGAGGAAAGCGTTACGAGTTGCACACGCCCCCTCCAGTCCCCTGTAGAAGGGCCGGAGCGCGCGCCCCCCAATTCCCCCACCTAGAGAAGGCGCCCCCAAGAGTGGCCCCTGCTTCCCCCACTTGGAGAATGGCAAGGAGTGGCGCCTCGATAGGTGGTCCCAAGCCCCCCCTGTGCCTCCCCGGAGAAGGACGCGAGCCTGGAGCGCGCGCGCACCTGGAGAAGACCGTGGGGCCTGCACCCTTGAGCTGCAGCTCCCAGCGCTCGCCAGCCTCCGGACACACCTCTCCCAAGTACATGGCGGCGCCGTCGCCCAGCTGCCCGGCGAACTGGCCGAACTGGTGGCCGCAGTAGCAGTGAGCAGCCGGCTCTGCGCCCGGTAGCAGCGCGTTGCCGCTAAAGAAGAGCGCGGCCTCCGCCTCGCGGGCCGCGGCGTCGGCGTCGTCAGCGGGCGGAGGGCACAGCCCCAGCAGCGCCAGCGCGGGCTCCGAAAGCGCCACGAGGCGCGGCTCCTGAAGGGGCGTGGGGCGCGCGCGGCTGAAGCAGGCCCCGGGCACGGGTCGCGGTGCGGGCTCCACGGCGGCGTCTTCCGGGCCCGGCGGAGTTTCCACCGGCAGCGCGCGAAGCGCGCGGTTGTCGAAGCGCAGCCCTGCCAACCAGCGAGGCGGCGGCTCCATGGCGGCGGCCGAGGTGGAGCAGTTCGCGTGTCGGCGCCCGCCAAGGTTCAACGACACGGCGCGAGCCGCAGTAAGCGAGATACCCAGCGCGGCCCTGAGCGCAGACATCTGCGGCGCCCCTCACCGGAAGGCCGCTCCGCTTTGGTCCAATCGCGGAGGGGGCAGTGCCCACAGCAACACTTCCATAGAACACACCCGCGAGACCCTTGTTCTGATTGGCTATTTTTCCCGTCTATTTTTGCCTAGTTTATCTCGCGGAGGCGGGCCTTCCGCTCCTGCACCTAGTCCTGAGTCAGCTAGTTTCTGTACTGGGCTGAGGCGGAGGAGGCGCTGGGCTGTGGGGAGCATGAACGCTGCTCAGGGTGACCACTGCAGGGGCGGCCCCGAATGACAGTCCTGTTTGACTGATGAGCAGGTCCCCGGGGGTCTGATCTGGCTGACTCATGACCGTTCAGACTAACATCTTAGAGTGTGTCCATACCCAACCTCAGAGAACCACACCCCAATTTCTTCCTGGGGCCCCAATTGTGCTCTCCAGACCCAGAGAACCCAGCCCTGCCCCTTCCTGGCTGAGCCCTTGGGGATCCTCCATCCCCACCCGCTCAGTGTCCTCATCCCAAGAAGGGGAGGCAGGTAAAGGGGACTGGTGGGTCACGGTCCCCTCATCCTGTCTGTCAGTAGTTGGTGCCATTGTACCAGACGCCGGACAGCCTGCTTCCCTCTAAGGGGCCACTCCACCTGGACCTGTGGAACATCCCAGGTTGTCAACACCACCCCAGAGACCCAGAGCTCATTTCTTCCCCCTTCATCCAATCATGCCCCTCAGCTTCATCCACACTCTGGGACCTGGTCAAAATCTGTTACTGAGGTCTCCAAAGTCACGAGTTCCGGATCAGGGCCCACATGGTGGCGCTGAGAGTTCTAGAAATCAGCCTGGGGACAGCACTCTCTCCTCTCAGGGACACACTCACGAGGTACCGATCCCAGTGGCCTGTCTGTGCTGCACGCTGGCCAGGGGCAAGGGATATGACCCAGGGTCTGAGCTGGGGACACCCCCCAACCCCGTCTGGACCGGAAGGAGGACGCACAGACTGTGAAGCTTGAACATTTAATGAGTCGGGTGCGGGCGCCACGGGTGGGGGCTGGGGTGCTAAGGCGCGGAGGTTGTGCGCACACGGAGCACACTAGCTCGCAGGGCCTGCCTGTGGTTGCCCGCAAGCCAGCGCAGGCTCGCGGGATCTCCCTTGTGCTGTGGCCTCGGTCCGTTGAGGTCGGCCTGGCCGCAGTTGCTGTACCACCAGCCGGCGCCCCAGCGGTCCAGGCTGCAACTGACAAAGGTGTGGTCGCCCTCCACGCAGGAAGTGCAGGTGTCGTGATCACGGTCCAGCGTGCTGAAGGCGCTGCCCTCCTGGTTGTCTGCGAGCCCGGAGCCCCGGAACGCATCTCCTATGCGCAGTCACCGAGCAGCCAGTAAACACAACCACCCGCCTTCTCCTCCCTCAGCATAGCTGCCTCACTATGGGGTAGGGGTGGGGGGCCTCTATGAGCCTCCATGCCCCAGCCTACCAGAGCTTCTCAGCAAATAAAGTGTCCCTAGAGGTGGGAGCCCTGCTGTGGCACTGTGTAATAATGAACTAGACAGCAAGGTTGGGTGTTCAAATTCGCCCGATGCACCTCAGAAACACTATACAGGCTTGGTATGAGTCGGAACTGACTTGAAGGCACTGAACAACGGGGGTGGGGTGGGGCCAGCCCTGGGGCCTCCCTTTCCACACTCACCTGCGGTGCCGGAATACTGGCCCAGGTGCAGCCGGTAGAGCTCATCTTCTGTGCCCACGTGGAAGTTGTCATAGTGGGCCTGCAGCGTGAGGTTGTGCACATCTTCCAAGTCCACCAGCAGCTCAGTTCGCCGGCCCGGCTGGGATGTCAACTCCACTATGTGCTCCAGACCCAGCCAGTGGTCTCCTACCGTGTGTGGCACCACCCTCAGAGGTTCGGCGGCCCAGGCGCCCCCCCCATAGCCCTCCCCGACATCTAGGCCCCTCCTACCTGCCTCTCCCTTCCACCTAGGCCCCGCCTACCGGCCCCGCCCCCACACCGAGGCTCCTCCCATCTGCCACTCCCCTACATTTAGGCCCCTCCTACCTGCCACGGCTCCGAAGCCCTGCTTGTATTCCTGCCAGCATCTCTCAAAGTCCAGAGGCTGCTCCGTGTCCACCTCTCGCCGCTGAATCACTGTCCAGCCGCCGTCACGCATATCACAGAGAACCTGGGACAGGCATGGCTGTCACACCAGTGGCTTCTCACCCTGAGACCCCCCCCATTCCCAGGGGCACTCCTCCGGTTTTTCTGGGTATGAATATCTATCATGAGACATCCTAGGAAAATTCACAGCCGGTTCCAGGAGTGCCCAGCTGCTGTCTGTCATAGTGCCTTAGAGATGGACACCCAGGCTGCGTCCAGGCCCCCCAGGTTACCCAAGTAAGTGGTAAGACTCGCTGTGGTAGCCCATGTGGTTGAGGCCCCCGGGGGATAGCTTGGCTGACATCTCACCTTGAAGGGCATGCTGGCTCCCTCCGGTTGGATGATGTACACACCGCTGGAGGCACTGGGGTTGTCCACCCAGATCTGAGAGCAGTCCTCCCCTGTAGGGTGACCCAGACCAGAGCCCCTGCAGGACACTTCTCGATAACCCAGATGATGGACAAGCCCTCCCAAGTACAGCAGCTGCCGCCCCGTTCTATCCTCGAGGACACTGAATACTGCTCTTCTGCTGCCCCTCAGTGGGCATCTTCCAAGCCCGGGTTTGCCCCCCACCCCCAGGGCTGCCTCCCCAACCCTAGGGGCAAAAGGCTTGGTTTTCCTCCCCTCCTAGGGCAATCCTTACAGGCACGACCACTTGAGAGGCCCTGCCCAGTGGATCAGGGTGCCCAGCCTGCACCCACCTTGGGGCTGCAACACCGTGACAGGGACCTGGGAAGAGATGGGCCTGATCAGGGTGGGCAGGTAGCTGGCTCTGTCCAACTCTATACCTGAAGCACCCCCAGCCCTCCCCCAGCGCTTACCAACACCCGATGCTGTATCAGTGATCCAGCCCATGGCACCGAGAGGCAGAGCAGGAGGGCAGCAAGCCGAGGCAGAGTATGGGCAGCCATGCTTCCTGGGGGTACAGATATGTTGGGGAGCCCTCCAACCTGCCAACCCGTGGCCCCTGCCCCTCAGAGCTCACTCACCTCTCCTTCTGGGCAGATCCGGCTGCTGGCCCAACCTTTTGTTCAGGGTGCCGGAGATGCTCCGCCCCTGCTCCTCCCTAGGGTGGGGGTTCCTCTGTGCACGTCCCGGGGGCTGGCACTGGTCCAGCCTCCGGGGGTTGGCCCCCTCTCCCCTGTGCTCCCAGGTGTACCCGGGAGGCTCAGGGCTGCCAGCCACCTGCCTTCCTTCTAGTCTCACACATCTCACCACACAGACGCGTCCAAAATTAGACTTTATTTCAATTTCATGAGGAAAGTGCACACTGAGCATGGATAACAGGGTACTGTGGTGAGGTGTCCATGGCCCCCAGCCTCAATTTGGTTCAACACTGACAGAGCAGTCCCCAAGGTCCAGCCTGGAGCTGCCAGCAGGGCACCCCGCAGGAGTCCCTCAGCCCCTCCCAGGAGAGACCCCGAAAAGGTTTCCTCTTTGTCACGACCAGATTTAAGGCTCATGTTTCTGACATCTGCTTTACTGTTTTGTTTAAGTTAAAATTACCTGAGCAAAAAAATTTCAGACATTTTAAAAAAGCCAAAAACATAGGAACTCTGCCAACAAGAGACCCCATCAGGGCCTGGGGAGGCCTGGTGCAAGGCGGCCTTTCCCAAACCTGCCAGGCCAGAAAACCCACCTGGGGGACCAGGTACTCCTATAGGCAGCCCAGGGGACCCCAAGTGAGGGCCACGGAAGCCGATGACCACCAGAAGGCACAGTGAGGTAGGGGCACCGGCTGTGGTCCAAATGCCCACAGCCTCAGAGTTAGGAGCTGGGGACAGAAGGGCAGGGAAGCCCCACACCCTGGCCCTGCTGGGCCCTCAAAGCACAGCCTCCAGGGCTGGGGCTGGGGCCTCAGCGATGGGGAAGGCAGCTGTGCTTGGCCAGACCCCCATGGGGGGCGGTGAGGCCCGCTGTTGAGATGTTGGGTGGGAGCCGGCCGAGAGCTGACGGGAGCCACAGGCCCCACCCCACGTGTGCACGGTGGCAGGAAGAAGCTGAAGCAGGCATCCCCTCGGCTCCCCTACTTCTTGGGCAGGATGGCGGACGCTCTCCGGAGGCAGCCCTGCACAGCAGGTAGCGCCAGGACCAGGCTCCCTGTGCGGCGGCCCAGCCAGTACAGGCTGTAGCCCATGAGACCCACGAAGGCAGCCTTCACAGCCAGCCGGGACACTCGGCCGGAGATGGACGGTGGGGGCACGCTGCAGCAGACAGGTGGTGGTCGGGATCTGGCGGCAGGCGGACGCTCCCCCCCACCCCCGACCCGGGTCACTCACGTCATGATTTCCTGGATGTTGAGCTCAGTGCTCCAGTTCTTCTCGATGCCGGGCACGTGGCCCATGCCCACGACACCCACGACCACAGACGGGATACACTTCCTGGGTTCGGCTGCAGGGCGGGGCGGGAGAGAGGGTCATTGCCAGGCCGGTGGCTCACCAGCTGGCTCCAGTGACCAGGGCGCTCACCGTCAGAGGAGCGAGGCAGCTCCAAGCGCCTTGCAGCCTGGCGGAGCATGTAGGTCAGGTAGATGTCGCGCTCGGAGACAATGGTGCGGTGCAGGTCGGGGAACTCGCCGATCATCTCGGCCATCATCTGCTCCAGCAGGTCCTTCTGCTTGCACTTCTCCACGTCGTCCTTGCTGGGGGGGGCGCCGCGGGAGGGGCAGGGCTGGGATTAAGGAGGATGGCGGCGGCAGGAAGGGTGGGAGGAAGGGCCTTGTTTGAGGAACCTCAGGGTGTGGATGGGGACGGGCCGGCCACCCCCAAGCCCTACCTGATGGGGTCTGACAGGAAGCAGAGGCCCCAGGCCAACTTGACCTTTTGCCAGAAGGATAGGGCCGCGATGGCCCTCTTGAAGGTGACAGGGATGGGCCGGTCACCCAGGTGGAACTTGCAGAAAGGCACCTTGCTGGCCTGGAGCAGAGGCCCGCATTGGGGTCACTGTCAGGGGCTCAGGAAACAACCCCCTGTCCTACCCCCACCCCTGGCCAGGCCCCTAACCTCCTTGAAAGCCTCTCTGAACTCGCCACCGGGCGCCATGCCCAGCTGCTCGGTGATGTGAGCCGACACCTTCAGCAGCAACATCTGCATGAGCCCCGACATGACCCCATTCTGTGGGCGGGTGGGCGGGAGAGCAATCAGCAAGCCCCCAGGCCTCGGCAGCTGCCCCAGGGCGGGCACACTAGCTGCCCCCCTGCCTGCCTAGCCCACCACCCTACCCCACCCCCAGCCACACTGGCCTACAGCCATCCCAGCTCCCCTTCCCCATCTCCTTGGGGCTCTGTGCATCCCTACACTGTGGTCTCCAGCTTGCCCCCCAGCCTGGGAACCCCAAGGTCCAGGCTCCTAGGAAAGGGGAGGGAAACGGAACCCACATAGACAAGATCAGGTGGGCGAAGCACCCAGCTGTCCCTGCAAGGCCTCGCTTGGACCCTGTCTCCAGCCCACAAAAGTGGAAGGGACGGAATTGGCAGAGGCTCAGAGTGGGCCCAGGTCCAGTGAGTTTCAATCCGGCTCCTCTGAGGAAACAGCCGGCGGCACACACCAGGGTCATGGGCTGCTGAGCCCTGAGGGCCGTGGCCGGGTGTTTGTGTGGCGGGCTGGTCCTAGACAAACAGGCGGGAGCCAGGCTGGCGGGCAGCCTGTCACACATCACCTCCATGCTGCCAGGAAGGGTGGCACCGGTCAGGGCTCAGGCCCCTCACTGACCACAGAAGAGTCGTGTGGCCAGGCAGCCCACCTGTGACCCTTCCCTCGGTCCACAGCCGCACAGTGATGGGCTGACTCAGTAGGCCTGGGCTGTCCAATCCTAGTACCCAGACCAGTTCCTAGCAGGTGAACCCAGGCCCTGGAGATGTGCAGAGTCACAGGACATGTTTGTTTACCTGGGGCCCTGGACCACAAGAGAGCCTAACCAAGGACCCCCCCCCCCCCACATACCAGTATACACCACGGATGTGGCTTGGGGGGCCTAAGATATGAGGAAAGGGCCAGTTGTGGCTGGTTAGGTGCATGAAGTCTACATTGTCGTGGGGGGGTCAAGCGCTGGGGCGAGGGTATGGGGTAGACTGGGCCCCCTCTGCCCCCTAGAGCAGACATGGGCCCAGGTCTAGCTGAGGTTGGGAGCTGCAAAGGTAATTGGGGGCCTCCCTGAGCCCTAGCCACTTCATCTGCAGGGTAGGGTACCTAAGACCCACCTAAAGGGGAGGGGACGAGGTTGGGGCCACTGAGGGTGGACACTGAGAGCCGCCCCTGCCCCTGCCCCGCACAGCTACACTGGTCCTCACCCCGACCTGAACAGCCCCGACTTCAGCTCCCCCATGCCTGACGCCCGTCCATGCACCTCCTGGGCCTTGTCACGGCTGCCTGACCAGCCCTATCCTCGGCTCCCCACCTGGCACATGGACCCTCACCTGGCGGACAGCCTGCTGAAGCTTCTCCAGGCTGATCTCTTTGGCTTCGTGCAGCAGCGTCCGTTCGTCCATCTTGAGCATGGACACGCGGTACTGACACAACTCCACCACCACCACATCAGGCTGGACCGCCCGGATGGTCTGCCACGACACCGCCAGCCAGCGGTCAGAGCTGGGGGTCCCCCGCCCCATGTCCACCACCCTGCTGGGAACTCTGACCTGCTGGCCCCCTGCCCCCCTCGCTTGGTACCAGCAGAGGCTGAGCGGCAGGGATGCGGGGGCAGTACCTGTGGTTGCCCAGACCCAGAGCCCGCAGCAAGTCCACCAGAGCCCCCACGGTCCTGTGCAGCCCTTCCGGCCCAGCAGCCCATACCTTGACAACGTCCCTCTTGCTGTCATCACTGAAGTGGGCTGTGCCCACCACGTACACACGGCTCCCATCCTCGGCCACCAGCTCAGTCACGGTGTGTGGCAAGGCTGGCCGCTCTCGCCGCCGCTTTAGCTTTACCTCCAGCAGCAGGTTGAAGGCGTCCATGTCAGCTGCGGCAACAACAGAGGGTCAGCTGCGGCGGGGCCAGACCCAGAGGGCAGCGGCTCAGCCTCACCAAGTAAAGGCAGAGGCCTCAGTCTCTGCGTGGTAAAGGCAGAGGGTGAGGTCTCTGCCAGGGCCAGGCCCAGGGCTGCCGGTCAGCATGCCCACTTCAGGAGGGTGACTGGACAAATGAGTCCAGTGACTTAGCCTCCTGCCCGCCCAAGAAGAAGGCTACTGCCACAGCTGCACACCTCATGCCTCCAGCCACCCCCAACGGACAGTGAGCCGTCATCTCCCTCCCGCCCCTCGGCCACCCAGAACACGTACACATACTCTGGGCTTCTCCGGGGGCCTCCCTGGAAGCCACCTCGGCAGGCTCTGAGGTCATGCCTGGCTCCATGGCTGCCTGCAGAGAGGAGAGGAAGGTTCCAGAAAGACACCCAGCCCACCCTGCCCACAATACACAGGGGTCTGCCCATCCTGGGTTGGCCATGCGCAGACACATGCTTCCCAGGGAGGGCTGCCCCGGGTACCCCGCCCCACCAAGCACTCTTCTCACATGGGCTAGCCCAGCCTTGTGAGGGGGTGAGGCCCTGAGACAGACTGGGGGCTGGTTTACACTGGTCAGGGGTGCAGTGGGGATGGGGGGCCTGCTTACACTGTGTCCGAGTGTGGGAGGGGCCGGGTCATCAATACATGGGTGGACACTGTTAGAAGCTGGGGTAGGGAAGCCCACATGTGACCCCTCCCTGTGGGCTGGGGGGTCCTTGCTCATTCTCTCAGCTGGGATGGTAAGGCAGGCAAAGACCAGATAGACATGAACAGACACCCCCCATACACGTACAGCTGTTCAGGAGCAGCGCCCCCTACACACACATACACACTCCAGATGTTCAGGAGCAGACCCCCCCTACACACACACACACACACACTCCAGATGTTCAGGAGCAGAATGGCTGGCCCTGAGCCCTCCTCACCTCCTGGGGTGGTTCCTCCTCCTCCCCCTCCATGGCAGCTCCCTGCTCCTAGTTGGATGGATGACGTCTGAGGGGAGAAGACACGTCCTCATCAGGAGCCCGAGGGCCTTGAACAGGCCTGGTACTGGGTTGGAGCCTGCTTCCCCCACCCAGCCCCAGAGCCCCCTCCTCACAAATGACAGGCAGGCTGAGTAGGACATGAAGGCATTAGGCTGTCCTGAAGAGGCTGACCCGACTCCTCAACCTGACAGAGGGGTATGGGTGTCTACACCAAAACCCACTGGACGGCAGCTGGACACCTCTACAGAGCCAGGACTGTCCTCGATCACATTCAAGGAGGAGGAGGACCAAGACACTGGCTGGGGGCCGCGGCACGCTCACACCCCATTCAAGCTGCTGAAAGCGGACGCCCCATGGATGGGACTTCCGGCAACATGAAGGACTCGCTTTGGATTTTTAGCTGCGATAAAACTCAGACTACGGTAATGTGCTTGTGCCGGGCTGCAATGTCCGAGACTGACCCACTGGTGGGACTGCAGGTGGGCACACCTCCCTCCTCCTGCCACTCTTCAAGTTGTCCTGACGATCGGGGGTTTCTTTCCCACTGGGTCTGCAGCAGCCTGAGAGCCCTACCCGAGTCACCCCACTTCTTGGCATGCTGCCTTGGCAGGGGCCTCTCTAGGGGCAACGTGCCCCCGATCTGGGATCCAGCCTGGAGGAAGGGTCCGCGGACAGCTGGTATGGGGAACCGAAGGTGACTCAACAGGGTGAGTCAGTGCACCAGGGAGGCCCCGCCCTCCACTTCCCGGTCTCTCCTCCCACCTGTCCTGAGTCCCTCCCGGTCCCCAATATAAAACCGGGGTCCCTGATGAGTGACAGTCATCCAGCTCACTCCAGACCGGGTCTGGCCACACACTCACAGGCGCCTCCCCCAGGGGCCTCTTCCCTGGCTGGCTTCCACAAACAGTAGGGCTGGGCTAGGGGTTAAGAGGGCAGCTGTTGGCCCTAAGGCTGCCCCCCCC